TTTGCATGAAAGGTGGAGGCTAGGTAGTTGCTAGTGGTGCTGTAAGCTAAAATTGATAAAAATGAACCACAGTTTACTATTAGAGCTCTCCCTTGGAGGTGGCAAGCCTCTAGAGTCCCGAAATAGTTACATCAGATGATTTCTGCGTCTACAGTGTTGTCCAGGTGGGAGACAGATTTCTGATTCGTCTACTCCACCATTTTTTCAGAATCTTCTCTCCTAGCATAGATTTTTTAAAAACCTTCTTCCTTCCTTTCTTTCCTTGTTTCTTTCCTTCTTTCTTCTTTCCCTTCTTCCTTCCTTCCTTCCCTCCTTTCTTCCTTCCTTTCTTCCTTTCTTTCTTTTTTTGTAGGGGTCTCACTCTGTCACCCAGGCTGGAGAGCAGTGGCATGCTCACAGCCACTGCAGTCTTGACCTCCTGAGCTCAGGTGATCCTTCTGCTTCAGCCTTCCCAGTAGCTGGGACTACAGGCATGTACCACCATACCTGACTAATTTTTTTGTGAAGATAAGATTTTGTTATGTTGTCTAGATTGGTTTCAAACTCCTGGGCTCAATCAGTCATCTTGCTTTGAACTCCCAAAGTGCTGGGATTATAGATGTGAGCCACTGTGCTTGGCCTTCCTTTTCTAATATAACTTAAGACTTGACTTTCATCTTAAGCATAGCTTAGGTGAATCTTACAAGGTTTTTTTCATTGTAATTAGCTCAAAGTACTTTCTTTTTATTTGTTTATCCTCTCATTTTATTTTTTTGAGTCAAGCTCTCACTCTATTGCCCAGACTGGAACGCAGTGGCACAATGATGGCTCACCGCAAGCCTCGATCTCCTGGACTCAGGTGATCCTTTCACCTCAGCCTCCCAAGTAGCTGAGACCCCAGGCACTCACCATGCCGGGCTTATTGTTTTATTTTTTATTTTTTTGAGTTGGAATCTCACTCCGTCGCCCAGGCTGGGGTGCAGTGACACGCTCACAGCCACTCCAGCATCGATCTGCTGGGCTCCGGCGATCCTTCTGTCTCAGCCTTCCAAGTAGCTAGAACTACAGGTGCACGCTACCACGCCTGGCTAATTTTTTTTTTTTGAGTTGGAGTCTCACTCTGTTGCCCAGACTGGAGTGCAGTGGCTGCTCCCGGCCACTGCAGCCTCGACCTGCTGGGCTCCGGTGATCCTTCAGCCTCAGTCTTCCAAGTAGCTGGAACTACAGGCATGCACTACCACGCCCGGCTGATTTTTTGATTTATTGTAGAGATGAGGTCTCGCCAAGTTGCCCAGGCGGGTCTCGAACCCACGGGCTCAGGCAGTCCACTCACCTGGCCCTCCCAGAGTGCTGGGATTACAGGCTGAGCCACTGAACCCAGCCTGAATTATTTTTAGTTTTAGATTTTTGTAGAGATAGGGTCTTGCTATATTGCCCAGGCTGGTCTTGAACTCCTCCTTCCTTGGCCTCCCAAAGTGCTGGGATTACATGCCTGAGTCACTGTACGTGGACTGAATTCTTTTATGATTTAAATTCCTCCCTCTCTTAGCTTAGAAGTTTTATACTCTTTGTGTTTTCTTTTGGTGGTTACCCTAAAGATTACCATGTGACTCCTTGATTTCCCAAATTTAATCGTAATTCATACTTTTACTACTTTCTTGGACAATGCAAAGGTCACAGAAACTCTGTCTACCCATCTCCAGACTTTCATACTGCAAACCACATATGTTTTAAATATATGTGTTTTCATATAAACACATATATTTAAAACTATACAAGACAGGGCTGGGCTCGGTGGCTCAGCCTGTAATCCCAGCACTTTAGGAGGCTGAGGCGAGTGAATTGCCTGAGCCTGTGGGTTCGAGACCCACCTGGGCAACTTGGTGAGACCTCGTCTCTACAATAAATAAAAAATTAGCTGGGCGTGGTAGTGTGTGCCTGTAGTTCTGGCTACTTGGAAGGCTGAAGCGGAAGGATCGCTGGAACCCAGCAGCTCGAGGCTGCAGTGGCTGGGAGCATACCACTGGGCGACCGAGTGATGAGACTCCAACTCAAAAAAATAAATAAATAAAATAAATAAAAATAAAATAAAATTCTATAAGACAATGTTGTTCTCATGATTATTGTTCCTGTTGTTGATAAACTTTTAATTGTGGAACCTCTTGTCCATACACAAATAGGCAGAATAATGAGCCTGTGTGAACTGGCTTTCCCGGCCCCAACAGCCATCAGCCACCCGACCAACAACCTCCATTTACTTACCTTCTTTTAGTAATTAAAGCAAATCCCAGACAACTGTATTCACAACTATAACTCTAAAATATAACTCTTTTTACAAAAGTATTACTGTCACACCTAAACAAAACTAATAATATTTATTGAGATTTATGAATATATTCACCCATCCTATTGGTCTTTATTTCATCCTTCATTTTCACACTTGTTTGGGATAATTATCCTTAAAACTGGAGAATATTTTACTCATCTACTGATAATGAATTCTCTGCTTTTGTTTGTCCGAAAATGTCTTTATTTTACCTTCATTTTTTGAAGGATAGTTTTGCTTGGTATAGAATTCAGCCTTGGCAGTTATTTTCTTCTAGTGGTTTTTATTTTTTTAATTTTTTTTTTGAGTTGGAGTCTCACGCTGTCGCCCAGACTGGAGTGCAGTGGTCGCTCCTGGCCACCGCAACCTCGACCTGCTGGGCTCCGGCGATCCTTCCACCTCAGCCTTCCGAGTAGCCGGAATTACAGGCATGTACTACCACGCCCGGCTGATTTTTTGATTTATTGTAGAGATGAGGTCTCGCTGCCCAGGTGGGTCTCGAACCCGCGGGCTCAGGCAATCCACTCACCTCAGCCTCCCAAAGGCACGGGATTACAGGCTGAGCCACTGAGCCCGGCTTCTAGTGGTTTTTAAAAAGTTTTTCACTCATCTTGCTTCTGTGGTTTCTGTGGGGATGTCAGTTGTTAGTATGATTGGTACCTCTTTTGAAGGTCATCTTTTTCTCTGGCTTCTTTTATAATTGTCCTTGTCTGGTTTTCAACATCTTGACCATGCTATGCCTAAGTATAGTTTTGTGTTTTTCCTTTGAGGGCTCTACGGCTTCCTTGAATCTATAGTTTGCTAACCTTTGTCAATTTTGATAGAGTCTCAGATATTATCTTTTTACACATTACTTTTTCTTCATTTTTCTTTCCTTTCCTGGGAGTCCAAGTACATGTCCTTAGATACATCTGTGTAGATATCTTTTTCCCCTGTGTGCTTTCTGGCTGTTATTGTGACCTCTCTTCCAGATCACTATTTCTCTTCACTGTGATCTGTTTGTTTTTTTTTTGAGTTGGAGTCTCACTCTTGCCCAGACTGGAGTGCAGTGGCACGCTCCCAGCCACCACAGCCTCGACCTGCTGGGCTCCGGTGATCCTCCCGCCTCAGCCTTCCAAGTAGCTGGAACTACAGGTGTGCACTACCACACCCGGCTAATTTTTTTGATTTATTGTAGAGATGACGTCTCGCCAAGTTGCCCAAGCGGGTCTCGAACCCACGGGCTCAGGCAATTCACTCACTTCAGCCTTCCAAAATGCGGGATTACAGGCTGAGCCACTGAGCCCGGCTGATCTGTTGTTAAATTCATCGACTGAGTTTTAATTTTGGTAATTGTATTTTTTCAGCTCTAGAATTTCTGTTTGATTCTTTTTCATAGATTTTTGCTTTCTGCCAAAATGCTTAATCTTGCCTATTAAAAATCTTCTTAAGCATATTAAGGATTTTATCTCGAACATTTAAAGTGTGTATAAGATACCTTTATGGTTTGGAACCTCTGCAGCTGTCTTACTTTTCTGTTGTTTCTCTTTGTTTTTATTCATGTCATCTTGTCTCTTGTGTATCTGTTATTTTTTATTGTCAGATGGTATCTATCAAAAATTGCAGAGATATTTGAAGGCCTAAGATGTTGATATAAATTCTGTCTCCCACCTCGGCAAGATAGCGAGATCCTGTCTCTACAAAAAATAAGAAAAAAAGCTAGCCAAGTGTGGTCTAGCACTCCTGTTGTCTCAGCTACTTGGGAGGCTGATGCAGAAGGATTGCTTGAGCCTAGGATTTGGAGGCTGTGGTGAGCCACGCTTGTGCCACTTCACTTCAGCCTAGGCAGCACAGTGAGACCCTGACTCAAAAAAATTTAAATAAATAAATAAATAAGTCGGGCTCGGTGGCTCAGCCTGTAATCCCGCGCCTTTGGGAGGCTGAGGTGAGTGGATTGCCTGCGCCTGCGGGTTTAAGACCTGCCTGGGCAGCGATACCTCATCTCTACAATCAAAAATCAAAAAATTAGCCGGGCATGGTAGCGCATGCCTGTAATTCCGGCTACTCGGAAGGCTGAGGCGGAAGGATCGCCGGAGCCCAGCAGGTCGAGGCTGCGGTGGCCGGGAGCGGCCACTGCACTCCAGTCTGGGCGACAGAGTGAGACTCCAACTCAAAAATAAATGAATAAATAAAATAAAATAGATAAATAGAAGCCCCGTCTGGAGGAAGAAGATTGCTTTAGCAGGCAGGCAGCTGGGGCATTAGCAACCGTGGGCCATTTCATTTCAGGTCTTTGGGAAGCGTGGCTGATCTCCCCGGTGTGGGCCTTCAGCGCTCTTCCCAAAGCACGGCTGATGTGCCAGCCGCCCCCCGTCAGTCACTGACGCGATGTTTGTCTTCTTGGCTCCACAGGACTTTGGGGGCACCGTCTTGCCTCTTAATCTCCTACCTTCCTCTTTCCAAACTGGCAGGTGCTCTGGGGGATGATGAGCCGCGAGTGCTGGGTCCCTCTCGCCCAGATTTTGACTCTTACGTTTTTTTGTGGTCTTGTTAAAATTCCCAGTAGGAATTTTAGTAAGAGATTTAAAGGTACTGGGAGTTTTCGTAGTCATTCTTAGTAGCAGGGTTGGTCCAGGTGTCCAAAATACATAGTCCACCATCGCTAGAACGGAAAGTCACCATGTTTTTTCTACTAACTTTGTATTTCTGTTCACAGATCGAGGCAATGACAACTGGCTGATTAAGTACGACTGTCCAATGGATAGTTCCAGCTCTCGGGTAAGAGGCTGAGCTGTGTCTTGAAGAACAGGATGAGGAGTATTTGTGTAACGTAGAAACACCAGATGGCCAGAGAGTTAGGTCCCATACGTGCAGAAGAATCTGGGAAGGTCATGTTTAAGACGAGTGGGTTTGTGCTGGGGATCGTTTTCTCAATCCATGTGTTAAGGAGCATCCCACTGACAGCTGCTCATAGGAAAAGCGTGAAGAAAGGCGAGTACACATGGAACATGCGCCACACTCCGTTCCCGTCCTGAGCTTCATGTTACACAGCAGCACAGGAGAGGCCTGAGAAGTCCTGTCCCAAGTGGGCCTGTCTCCGTTTGATTTCCACACGTTTATACCACGAGCCCCTCTTCTCACCTCAGACCACAAGTCCACAGAACCCAAGTTTAGAAAAGCTGCTTCCACAGTGTTCTCTCCTCCTTCCACCACTGTGCTTCTCCATCACTGCTCTGTCTGCTTTATTATTATTATTGTTATTTGAGTTGGAGTCTCACTCTGTCGCCCAGGCGGGAGTGCAGTGGCACACTCATGGCTACCCCAGTGATAACCTGCAGGGCTCAGGCGATCCTTCCGCCTCAGCCTTCCAAGTAGCTGGAACTATAGGCACGTGCTAACACACCTGGCTAATTTTTTATTTATTGTAGAGATGAGGGCTCGCCAAGTTGTCCGGGCTGGTCTTGAATCCGCGGGCTCAGGCAATCCACTCACCGTAGCCTCCCAAAGTGCTGGGATTATCAGCTGAACCACCAAGCCTGGCCAAATCTACACTTGTAATAGGACATCCCAGGTGACCCTGTTCCTGCAATGGCACCTAAGATCCTGAAGCATGGCACCATGTAGTCAGCCCTGCCATGGGCTGTCACAGGTCACCTGCCTGCTCTGCACTGGGCTCTGGTGGTTTGCCGTGTCATGTGTCACTGAAGCCAGGTAACAGGCTCCTTATGCAGGAGCAGCCAGCAGTCACCTCTCCGGCTCCACTTCCTCCTGAAATGTGCTCGTGGCCCGGGACTGGCAGCCAGTCAGGGTTCACATGCAATGCCCTTGGCCACCTGGTGGGAATTCTGCTCCCAGGTTTCCCCTTGCCCTTCTCTAAGGGAGTGGCTTACGGTTATCTGTTATCATCCTTCTTACCAAGGTCTGGGGCCACTCCTGGGGAAGTGCTGCTTTTCTCAGATGAGCACAGCCAGGTCAGAAGTGCCATAAACATACTAAGTTCAGCTAACTATATGGAAACCGGTCCAGAGGGTAGCTCGGAACAAGTAGAATGCGGCGTGGTGTCTGAGCGGCAGGATGGGCTGCTTTGCTTCTACTTTAAAGGGTCTGACAGCGAGATCCCCAGTAATTGGCCTTTCCTGGCTCTTCAGGACACAGACTGGGTGGTGGTGAAGGAGCCTGTTATCAGGGTGGCTGCCATAGACAACGGGCTGGCGTTCCCTCTGAAGCATCCCGACTCCTGGAGGGCATGTAAGTGTCAAGACCCCATGTTCCGGCTGTTCTCTCGCTCCGTCTGTTTTCTCACTGTGCAATGAAGATAATAATACGTCAATCATGGGATTGTTCTGAAATTCATGATCTAAGGCAGCTCAGGCACTTGAACATAGCGCCTGGCATGTGGCGACTGCGCTGCAGTGAAAGCTGTTGCTCTCATTTTTGTCTTGTGTTCTCCCAGTAGAAGCGTAAAGGTGATTAGAAGCAAGACGCCTGAAGATGAGTTTTCTCATCTGCCCTTTGCGTTCTCATTCTTTCTGAGGACCAGCTTTTCATAGCATGTTCTATTTGTGGCTCAATGAGCCGCTTTCAGTGTTCTGCGTCACGAGCCCCTTTGCAGCACGAGTCCCTCTTTTCGGGAGGATGCTCAGTGTCTCTGGGGCAAGTAGCTGCTTCTGGAGGGGCTTGCATCTCAGAGGGTCCCGCAGTGTCTCAGAAAGAGCTCTGGAGTTAAGCAGGCCTGAGTTTGAATCCTGGATTCCTCCCCATGCTAGCTGTGGAGCCTTGACAGGAAGGCGCACTGGAAGGTTTTCATTTCTGTGGTCTAGCAGGGAAGAGGGCCTCTGCCTTGATGGGTAGGGGACACAGATGAGCAGGGACTTGTCCAACACCAACTTGGCTTTTGGCTCTTCCTCCTTCCAGATCCTTTTTACTGGGCCTGGTTGCCCCAGGCGAAAGTCCCGTTCTCTCAGGAGATCAAAGATCTGATCCTTCCAAAGATATCGGACCCTAACTTCGTCAAGGACTTGGAGGAGGACCTATATGAACTCTTCAAGGTCAGCCTGGGAACCTCAGCCTTGTTCCCATACAGACGGGGTTCCTGGTGGTTTGTCTAACTGGTCCTGACACAAGCAAAGGGAAATGGCTAACACCTGACTGGTTTGAGTTAGCCAGAGAAGATCAAGGTTTCCACACCGGGACCGCAGGACCTGACCGGATGGGTTTGAAAGTGGGCAGCTGTAATGGGTCACATGGGGGCGTGTCCTGTGCCGGCATGACTGCGGTATATCTGCAGGATGGAGCACTGGAGCTTGGAGACTGAGGCGTAGAATAAGATATTTATTTGTTTTCTGTAAAACGGGGATGCATTTCTGAGGGGGGTGACTCCACCACGCCTCATAAGCCTCATGAAGGTCTGCCTTATTAGAATAGAAGGTGTCTAACTGGGGAGAAGACAGACTCCTGGGAGGCATCACACAGTCCCTTCTGCCCTTCTTTTGCAGAAAGATCCCGGTTTCGACAGGGGCCAGTTCCACAAGCAGATCGCTGTCATGCGGGGTCAGGTGAGCCGGGACCCCCTCCCGCCGGCTTTCTGGCATCTCTGGCAGGGTCACATCTCACGTGGAGCCCACGTGGGAAGCCTGTACCTCACTCCCTTCTCAGGTTTTGCCATACGTGTTTGGGACTCTTCCTGACACACGGGGAGGACAGGTGGCCCTCCCTGACCTCCGGCCTCTTCCCGGCATCCAGTGCTCGGAAAGTCTTCCTCCTCCTAGCGCCACTTCTGGATCATTGGGGCAAATCAGCTGGTGCTTCCTGGCTTCAGGCTGCCCGAGGCAGGCATTTGCTGGAGGGGGAATGTCTGGGTTCTGGAGTCAGGCTGCTTCACCATGTGCAAGCTCTGTGGCCTGGGCCAGAGCCTCTGCTTCCTCGGTTATAAAACAAGGTGGTGGTACTCCACACCTTGCCGAGGGTTGCACGAGAGAATCTAGCAAATGATGAGTAGACAGGGTGCAGGTGGGCACTGGCTGCTGCCTGTGTGGTCCTCTGCTGTGAGAGCCACAGGTCACGCCATTTCTTCTCTCTCCACTTAACTTTCAGAGGGGGCTCAGGAAGCCCAGGGCACTGTTGCTCTTCTGGAGCATAGCAGGGAAGTGTCTAGAAGCTCCATTGGGCACTGGTATTCCGCAGAGCACTTTGGAGTCCTTGGAGAAGGGTGGGATACCTCATGGTGAAGGCACAGCCCTGGTCACAGGGCCTGGTTTGAAGCCTAGCTCTGCTGGTTGCTACCTGTGAGCGCTTGGGCAAGTGATTGAGTTTCTCCTTCCCTTGGTTTCCCCAGTTGTAACATGGAGTTGATACTAGTAACTGCCTAGTAGAGTTATTGTGAAATAAATGAGCGAGCCGGGCTCAGTGGCTCAGCCTGTAATCTCGCGCCTTGGGAGGCTGAGATGAGTGGATTGCCTGAGCCTGCGGGTTCGAGACCCGCCTGGGCAACTTGGCGAGACCCGCCTGGGGGTCATCTCTACAATAAACCAAAAAATCAGCCGGGCGTGGTAGCGCGTGCCTGTAGCTCCGGCTACTCGGAAGACTGAGGCAGAAGGATCGCCAGAACCCAGCAGGTCAAGGCTGCGGTGGCCGGGAGCGGCCACTGCACTCCAGTCTGGGCAACAGAGTGAGACTCCAACTCAAAAAAAAAAATGAGCAGTCAGAGTAGTGCCTAGCGTGTCAGGGATGCCATTTGTGATTGCTATGATGATGACCGTTTTGTGTTCAGAAAGTCTGCTTCTCACTCTCGAAGGGTCAGGAGGTGTCCAGCCGTGACACACACTTCCTCCTCCTGCTACTCAGTCAAAGCTTCCAGGAGAGCACCCCATGGGCTTGCTGAGCCTATTGGTCCCTGGAACTGGGCTAGGCAGAGGCTGTGAGAGACACAGGTATGACCACTGTCTGAACACCAGTGACGTGGTCTTCCTGCATTTCCCAAGTAAAGTACGGGCCTAGTTAGGCTGGCAGAAGTGTTGGGAACCTTCAAAGCCATGCGATGTCCTCTGGCGTCATAGAATCAGCGTCAAGGAAGAAACTGGCTTCCAGCCTCTACGGGCCCTGCCTCTGTCCACCCTGCACGGTCTTCTAACTCCTTCCCAGCTCTGTCCCTTGCCATCACTGCAGACCTGGGGAGGCGCGGGGAGGGAGTGCGGGGTCGCTTTTCTCTTCCTCTTGTGCTCTCAGTGCCTTCGGGGGCTTTTGGCATCGGAGAGCCTACTTCCCCACGCCTTAGGGTGAACCTCTGGCCCTTCCCAGCGTGCAGGGGGCCCGTGTCTCAGTCACACCCCACGTGTCTACCTTTCACATGCCAAAGCAAAGGAGCCTGTACCCTACAGAAGTGTGACACAGCACAGGGAAAAGAGGTCACGGGCCCAGCTCCTCAGCCGTGCTGTGATCACAGAGTGGGCTGCATGAGGACACAGAGCTCAAGGGCAAGAGTGACGAGGCCCCAGAGGGACAGGGTCAGGTGATGGCGGCTGTTACTTGACATAAAAGCTTCCAACCGGGAGTTCAAGAACCAAGGGTCTGAGAGAAAACCTCTTTAAAATAACATTTTCTTTTTAAAAAAATTATATATATTTTTAGAGACAGGGTCTTCTCTGTTGCCCAGGCTGGGGTGCAACGGTGTGATCCTAGCTCACCGCAGCCTCTAATTCCCGGGCTCAGGCCATCTTCCCACCTCATCCTCTCAAGTAGCTGAAACATCTATAAGTACACTATTTTTTTTGTTTTTGTTGTTGTTTGGAAAGCAGAATTTATTGAGAGGACAGAAAACCTCCATAGTGGGAGGGGACCTGAGAGAGTTGCCCGGCTTTTTTTTTGTAGAGACAAGGTCTAGCTGTGTTGCCCAGGCTGTTCTCGAACTCCTGGGCTCAAGCCGTCCTCCTGCCTCAGCCTCCCAAGGAGCTGGGACTGTAGACACATACCACCACGCCTGGCTAGTTTTGAAAGTTCTTTGTCTTGCATTCCTGGCCTCAAGTGATCCTCCCAGCCTGGCCTCCCAAAACATTGGGGTTAGCGGTGGGAGCCATCGTGCCAGGCCTGTTTCCTTCATCCATTTTTATTTATTCCATTTGCTTATTTATAAATTTATTCCATTTCTACTCCTGTTCAGGATACTAGTCATCCAGTTTCTTGTTTTGCCCTGGACACACTTTTCCCGTGTCTGATTAATTCAAATACCCTTTTCATCGCTTTGACTTTCAGGTTATCAAAATGGGCTTCCCGTAAGGAGAAACACACGCCTTCAGAAGGTCTTTCTTTGCCTTTTGGTGGATGGCCCAAAAGCAGATTTTATGTTTTATCAGGACAATTCTGATGTCATCGTCATTGGGCTTTTCATCATTTTGGAAAACGGAAATTTGAAAGGATTTAGGTTTTTACATCCATGTAACTTTTGGTATTACTTTTTCTTTTTGAGTTGGAGTTTTACTCTATCGTCCAGGTGGGAGTGCCGTGGCACGCTCACGGCCACCCCAGTGTTGACCTGCTGGGGCACAGGCCATCCTTCCGCCTCAGCCTTCCACGTGGCTGGAACTCCAGGCGCGCGCTACCATGCCTGGTTGATTTTTGACTTATTGTAGAGATGAGGTCTTGCCAAGTTGCACAGGCGGGTTTTGAACCCCTAAGCTCAGGCAATCCTCTCACCTTGGCCTCCCAAAATGCGGGATTACAGGTTGAGCCACCGAGCTTGACCCCTTCATCCATTTTAAAAATGGAGTTGCTGAATCAGAGGGTCTGGTCGTTTTTAAGCTTTTATTATCAACTTGCCTCTGAGACTGTCCACGGCCACCCCATAGCCCTGGCGGAGCATGCCTCTCTCTCTGAACTCTGCAGCTTTCATGTGAGTTTTAGAATGACTGGAGACATTTCTGTTTTGTTGCTGCCGTTTCTGCTCTGCAGGTCCCTGCCTGCACGCTTCCGCCTGGCACGTCTTCGGTGGTCTGTGGGAGTGCTGTCTGGTGTCCCCCTGCAAGGCTGACCTGGGCCTCGGCCCTCCCTCTCCCGTTTCCTTTCCCACCGCAGATCCTAAATCTGACCCAGGCCTTGAAAGACAACAAAAGTCCCCTGCACCTCGTCCAGATGCCACCCGTGATCGTAGAAACAGCCCGTTCTCACCAGCGGGCCTCCAGCGAGTCCTACACACAGAGCTTTCAGAGTCGGAAGCCCTTCTTCTCGTCATGGTAGCCCAAGGCAGGCGGCGTCGAGGGAGAAGGCCCGGGGAACCGGAAAGCCAGTGGAGAGCAGCCTCCGGGATCCCCCTCTGCCTGCCTCCCCCCAGGGCTCTTCCACCCGGGAGAAGCACAATCAGGGACCCAGAGCTCCAGGGCCTTCTGAGCGGGAGAGGCTGGAGCTGCAGCCTCCTGAGGCCAGGAAGGAGCGCCTGCCTCCCAGCACCCCACGTGGCCGGCGGGAAAGCTCCTCCCTGCCCGCACCTGCTACTGCAAGTCCCTGTTATGTTCTGCATCAGAAAAGACAACACGCACGGAGATGCTTGAAGCCCACCGGGCTCTCTTAGCAGCCCTTCCGTCCCTCTCTCCCTCCATCCAGGCCTGCGGCCGCACAGACCCCAGCATTCGATGCCTGCAGTGGTGTATTCCTTGCTCAAGGCTGTGTCAAGGGCGGTGCTTGGTTAGACAGGTCACGCCTCCCTCGGGTCTCCTCCCTGTCCTGGCCAGTGCTGTGGGCTGGCCTCGAGCCTCCTCACCTCTCCTGGCGGGCAGGTGTTTGCACCGCGCCTCAGGCCGTTTCGCCTTGGGCTCTCTGCCCTGCTGCAGTGGCCTGTCTCTCAAACTGAGGCAGGAGGAGCTGGTCTGAGCGCGTATAGTCGAATAGGAAGGTGAGCCCCAGCACGTGGACATGAGCCACGTGGCCCAATGATGTGCCGGGAGCTGTGAGTGGCCTGTGGCCAACTGGTTCCAGCCTTGCCCCCTCGGTCCCTGCTCCCAATTCTCGAATTTGTTCCTGTTGATTTCAACATCTTCTTTTCCAATTCATTTGACTTAGGAGCCCAGTTCGGGTTCTGGAGTGGGTCCCTCGAGGTTCTGGGCTGAGAATTGGCTCGTCAGAGGACAGGATCCTAGGTCCCTGCACTTGGTTATCTGCTACCCCTGCTGCTTGGTGGAGGACAGGCCTCCTTCTGCCTCCTAGCTGGCAGTTTCCATTTTCTCCCCAACTCCCTGCCCCTGGCTGGTTTGTCCCAGGGCTCGAGAAAGGCAGGACCCCACGAGCAAGGCCTTCTCCCCAGCCCTCATACCTGCCCAGCTCGGGGCGCATCTTCCTGCTTCATGTGTCTTTTCCAGAGCTACCCCCTTGCCAGGTGTTCGAGCCCTTTCTAGACCAAAGCAAAGAGTGGCCTCAGGAGGGAGTAAAAGGGTGCCATCTGTGACTGGGGCAGCTGTGTCCATGCCCTATGCCAGGGACACTTCACAGTTCTGGCACCTTGCGAATGGTCAATCAGCCTCGAAAGAAACTATCTGGAAGGTTTGGAAAACAACCAAAGAAAGGGAGCGAGGACTGTGGCTGTGTGTCCCCTACTAGCCCGGCCCTGCCGTCCAGGAGGCACAGCAGAGCCGGGAGCCTCTCATCAGCTGGGCGAGGCCAGTCCCTTCCAGTGCAGCTGCCAGGAGCCGGCTCGTCCTGGACTTCCACCTGACTGACAGGAGGAGTCTGCGAGCTGGATGTGCGTGCCCAGTGGACAAGGCCCCAGCTCGCCTGCCCACACTGCCCTGACAGGCGTGCGCTGACTGGACTGGGGAACGCTGAGTGAGAGAACGCCAGCCTCCTGACCGGAAGGGGGCCCAGGTGTGTGAAGCTCTCCACGGACGCCTCTCACAGACCTGCTGGTGAGTTCCCACCAGTGCCTGAGAGCCTGGGGAGTCTGGCGGGGAACCTCCTGCCTCCCCAGCCACCCCGGCCTACACTTCGTCTCACCCAGGCTGGCTCTGATCAGACGGAAGTTGGGTCCAATGCCAGGGAGCTGGCCTGAGCCAGCCGCGAGAGTGTGCGGCTCCTTTCCCGGCCTGTCTCCAGCCCCTTGAAGCCTGCGCTCAGGTTGCCTTGAATACAGACTTTAAGCGCCGGGACCCAGATGCGGTGGGCTTCCGGGTGAGACGCACCGGCCGTCCCCTGCAGCCATGGGCCCTGCTGTGTCAGGGAGCAGGCCGGGCCGTGAGCGCTGCTGCCCGTGTCATTCTCATGCACTGTAGAAACTGTACGTAATGTATTTAAATCAACACAAATGTATGAATAACACATCCAGTTCAGACCTTTTTTGTCTGGTTTCTTTGGGGGAAGGAAGACAAAGGTCAAGTGTAGCTTTGAGGACAGAGAAACCTGTTTCCATGGAGTTGCTGAGCCATAGCTCCTGGGTCCATTTCCCTCCAGTGGAGGGACACACAGGTCTTCGTTGCGAGTCCCAGCTCAGAAAACCAAAAGCGTTTTATTTTTTATGATTTTTTGAGATAGGGCCTCATGCTTCCACCCAGGATGGAGTGCAGTAGTGTGATCATAGCTCCCTGCGTCCTCAGCCTGTGCTCAAGCATCCTCTCACCTCAACCTCCTAGGTAGCTGGAACTATAGATTTGCCACCATGCCCGGCTAATTTTTTTATAAAGCAAGGTCTCACATTGTTGTCCAGGTTGGTCTCAAACTCCTGGCCTCAAGCGATCCTCTCACCCTAGTCCTGCAAAGTGCTGGGATTACAGGTGTGAGTGACCACACCTGGACTTCAAAAGTATTTTCTTTTCTTTTTTTTGGAGTAGGAGTCTCACTCCATCATCCAGGCTGGAGTACAGTGGCACACTCATGACCACCCCAGCATCAACCTGCTGGGCTCCTGTGATCCTTCTACCTCAGCCTTCCAAGTAGCCAGAACTACAGGCACACGCTACCGTGCCTGGCTAATTTTTGATTTATTGTAGAGACATGGTCTTGCCAAGTTGCCTGGATTGGCCTCAAACCTGCAGGCTCAGGCAATCCACTCACTTTGGCCTCCAAAGTGCTGGGGTTACAGGCTGAGCCACCGAGCCCAGGCCAAAAATATTTTCTTAACTCATTTGGCACCAACACCTGGCCGGAACCTCTGCTGATGTGACACCACTGGCAGTTGAATGTGTCTGTCCCTCATAGTGTGAATATTTGCTGCAGAAAAGTTTATCTGTCCCATGAGATGGTCCCTTAATAGGGCTTATGAAGTATTTGCCCAGACACTTCCTAAACACTAAGAAGTTCTGAGTTCCAAAATGACCCAGCCCCAAGGGGTACACTTAGGTGGTCGTGGTCTCTTCCTGTCACCGGAGGGCAGCCCTGCCCCTGGACCCTGGCTGGTAGTAGGAAGGAAGGGAGGGAGAGTTGAAGGCTCGTGAGCCCGCGGGACGCTGCAGCTGATGGGAAGCGAGGCTCCCAGGACAGACCCTCACCTAGAGGCTTCCGGGCTGAGATGCCCAGGGCAGTGCAGCGGCTAAGAAGGGCTGGTCCAGGGAGGTGGAGGCCTCCGTGAGCTGAGCTGTGAACTTCGTGATCATGCCACTGCGCTCCAGCCTGGGTGACTCAGTGGGACCCTGACTCAAAAGCATAATAAGCATGCTGGGTCCAGCTGCTGCCCTGCTGGGGTGCTCGGGCACGCAGCCACTGGGGTGAAGAAGCTGTCCGCGGTGTGCACTGCTAGTGTGGCTGCGGGTCAGTCAACCCGGGGCCCAGTGGCCTCGTGCAGGGCTGACCGCGTGGCTTTCCCCCTTCTCCTCTCGTGCCAAAACCCTCCCATCTCTCCTGATCCCACGGCCTCCGGAAAGTGGCTGCGGTGTGGGCTCGAGGGGCTGGAAAGGGAGAGGCAGCCACTCCTGCCCCCCGCTCTGGCACCGGCGCCTGTCTTGGGACCCTCCCCTGCGTGACAGAAGCGCACAGTTCTTGGTGTAAATGTCTTTATTCGCCACTGAAACCCCGGTTTCTCTGTGTGGGCCTGGCATGGGGGTGTGGGACCGGCTGCTGAGCCGGAGGCAATGGCAGTAGTAGGTGGGGTCGTGGTGGAGGCGTGAGACGCCGGCCCGCATGCCCATCCCCTCGCCCCAGGGAGCATCAGGCAGCCCAGGCTGGCGTGAGACCGGGAAGGGCGGAGGCAGCAGCAGTTGTGTCTGTGCTCACTCTGGTGAGGAGTGGATCCTCCAAAGCCGAGAGCCTGGTGGCGGCGTCCAGGCCCCTCCCGAGCCAAACAGGCCAGCAGCTGCAGTGGCTCCTCCCGTCAGTTCCTGGGGCAGCCTGCCCGGGATCTCACCTTCCAGGCAGAAGTCTCCGACCGCCAGGGCGAATGCCCACCCCGGCCCTCCCAGTCAGTGTCGAATCCGGCGGAGGTAGCTGGTGGGGCCTGGCTTCCTCCAGTTCCGGGCACTCGTCCTCCTGGAGGTGAGGCGCTGCTCGCTGGCGGCTGTCCCCGTGGCACTGTCGGGGTCAGCCCGGGCAGAGCGGGGCTCCGGGATCCTGCAGGAGCAAGTGTATGATAAGCTGACAACAGGGAGGACGCCACGGGGACCTTGAGAGATTCTGTTGTGGTGGGCAACGTGAGGGGGGAAGACCCAAAACACAGAATGTGCTGCTTATTCCGTGTTTGCACTGCAGTCACCTTCAAAAGACTCTGCTTGAGGCAATACACCTATCGAGATGCTTTTTCCACTGCCCAAAACAGTTTTTGAACTCAACGATTTGGAGGCCTTTTAATGCTTCTGTAGTTTTTTGTTTCACCTCTTCCACCTTAGCAAAATGTCTCCCTTTGAGGATTTTTTTGAGTTGGAGTCAGTCTGTCGCCCAGGCTGGAGTGCAGCGGCACGCTCACGGCCACCACAGCCTCCACCTGCTGTGTTCAGGCGATTCTTCCACCTCAGTCTTCTAAGTGGCTGGAACCACAGGGGTACGCCGACTCACCTGGCTTATTGTAGAGACGAGGTCTCACCAAGTTGCCCAGGCTGGTCTCGAACCCCCGGGCTCCCAAAGTGCTGGGATTACAGGCAGCATCACTATGCCCGGTCCAGCCCCCCTTGAGGATTTTTTTCATCCAAGGAAACAGCAAAAAAAAAGTCGCTGGGGTGAAAATGGGGTCATGCCGTTGGGGTCAAAAACTGCGGTGTGGGCAGGTGCGCTCGTAAATCCTCATGAAATGGGCAAACATGTTGAAAAAAAATCTCCCAGAAAATTTTATTGAAGCCGAATGCAGCCTCTCCCAACAACGCTAGCTGGTACACGGATGCTGATGGGTTCTTAGGACACTGACCTAGCGGGGAAGCCTCTACTACAAGGGCCCACCCTCCAAAGGATAATGCTACATTTTTGTGGGGGTCCCCCCTGCCAAAACGCAGTTCAGGGCAGAGAGGTCAGGGCCCTGACCTTGTTCTCCCAGGAAACTGTGACAAGGCCCAGTCGCAGCTTCTCTGCTGTAGACAGGGCGGGGCTAGGCGAGGCTGTGCCAACTCAGCGCTTCTTCATCCTGGCCCACGGCAGATGTCACTCGGGGGTCACAGTATGAACCTCACTCTCCCAGCAGTGACTGCGGCCAGTGGAGTTCACATGGGTACCGACACCAACTTGTCACTGGAAGCCTGCTGACCGTGGGGCCCCGGGGAAGGCAGCCGAGGGATGGGGCCCCGAGCATGACCCGCGGCGAGTGTTGTGGGTCATGGGCTTCAGCTCGGTCCCTTCAGGCTCCCTGTCCCCGGCTGGCAGTGACTATGCAGAGTTGGCCGGCCAGGGCGACGGGGGAGACCTCATGGTGATCGCCAACCCGTGAGGCCTCTGCGAGGCACGCCTAGGCCGCACTCACCCCACAGCTGGAATCCCAGCTCCAGCACTTACTTCTGGCTGCTTCCTTCTCAATGGCGCCAGTCCCACAACAGGTAAGCGCATTGTGTTTTCTTCCAAGCACTCCTCCCTCCCACCATGGTAGCCCCAGGGCCGCATGTGAGGCCAGGACACAGCAGTCTTGAAGTGCCAGCCAAGGGG